GGCCTGACGGTGGTGGTGTAGCACACACAGCGGGCCTGACGGTGGTGGTGTAGTACACACAGCGGCCTGACGGTGGAGGTGTAGCACACAGCCAGCGGCCTGACGGTGGTGGTGTAGTACACAGACAGCGGGGCCTGACGGTGGTGGTGTAGTACACAGCTGGGCGGGCCTGACGGTGGTGGTGTAGCACAGCACAGCGGGGCCTGACGGTGGTGGTGTAGCACACAGCCAGCGGGCCTGACGGTGGTGGTGGTGTAGCACACAGCCAGCGGGGCCTGACGGTGGTGGTGTAGTACACACAGCGGGGCCTGACGGTGGTGTACACAGCCAGCGGCCTGACGGTGGTGGTGTAGCACACAGCCAGCGGGCCTGACGGTGGAGGTGTAGTACACAGCCAGCGGGCCTGACGGTGGTGGTGTGGCACACAGACAGCGGGGCCTGACGGTGGTGGTGTAGTACAAGCCAGGGGCCTGACGGTGGAGGTGTAGTACACAGCGGGGCCTGACGGTGGTGGTGTAGCACACAGCCAGCGGGGCCTGACGGTGGTGGTGTAGCACACAGCCAGCGGGCCTGACGGTGGAGGTGTAGCACACAGACAGCGGCCTGACGGTGTGGTGTAGCACACAGCCAGCGGGGCCCTGACGGTGGTGGTGTAGCACACACACAGCGGGGCCTGACGGTGGTGGTGTAGCACACACAGCGGGCCTGACGGTGGTGGTGTACACAGCCAGCGGGGCCTGACGGTGGTGGTGTAGTACACAGCCAGCGGGCCTGACGGTGGTGGTAGCACAAGCCACAGCGGCCTGACGGTGGTGGTGTAGTACAACAGCACAGGGGCCTGACGGTGGTGGTGTAGTACACAGCCAGCGGGCCTGACGGTGGTGGTGGTGTAGTACAGCCAGCGGGCCTGACGGTGGTGGTGTAGCACACAGCAGCGGGGCCTGACGGTGGTGGTGTAGCACACAGCCAGGGGCCTGACGGTGGTGGTGTAGTACACAGCCAGCGGGGCCTGACGGTGGTGGTGTAGTACACAGCCAGCGGGGCCTGACGGTGGTGGTGTAGCACACAGCCAGCGGGCCTGACGGTGGTGGTGTAGTACACACAGCGGGCCTGACGGTGGTGGTGTAGTACACAGCCAGCGGCCTGACGGTGGTGGTGTAGTACACAGCCAGCGGGCCTGACGGTGGTGGTGTAGCACACAGCCAGCGGGGCCTGACGGTGGTGGTGTAGTACACAGCCAGCGGGGCCTGACGGTGGAGGTGTAGTACGCGGGCCTGACGGTGGTGGTGTAGTACACAGCCAGCGGGCCTGACGGTGGTGGTAGTACACAGCCAGCGGCCTGACGGTGGAGGTGTAGTACACAGCGGCCTGACGGTGGTGGTGTAGCACACACAGCGGGCCTGACGGTGGTGGTGTAGTACACACAGCGGGGCCTGACGGTGGTGGTGTAGTACACAGCCAGCGGGCCTGACGGTGGTGGTGTAGTACACACAAAGGGCCTGACGGTGGTGGTGTAGCACACACAGCGGGCCTGACGGTGGTGGTGTAGCACACGCCAGCGGGGCCTGACGGTGGTGGTGTAGTACACACAGCGGGGCCTGACGGTGGTGGTGTAGCACACACAGCGGCCTGACGGTGGTGGTGTAGTACACAGCACAGCGGGGCCCGACGGTGGTGGTGTAGCAGCAGAGCGGGCCTGACGGTGGTGGTGTAGTACACACAGCGGGCCTGACGGTGGTGGTGTAGCACACAGCCAGCGGGCCTGACGGTGGTGGTGTAGTACACACACAGCGGGCCTGACGGTGGTGGTGTAGCACACAGCCAGCGGGCCTGACGGTGGTGGTGTAGCACACACAGCGGGCCTGACGGTGGTGGTGTAGTACACACAGCGGGGCCTGACGGTGGTGGTGTGTAGCACACACAGCGGGGCCTGACGGTGGTGGTGTAGTACACACAGCGGGCCTGACGGTGGTGGTGTAGCCAGCCAGCGGCCTGACGGTGGTGGTGTAGTACACAGCCAGCGGGCCCTGACGGTGGTGGTGTAGCACAGCCAGCGGCCTGACGGTGGTGGTGTAGCACACACAGCGGGGCCTGACGGTGGTGGTGTAGTACACAGCCAGCGGGGCCTGACGGTGGTGGTGTAGTACACACAGCGGGGCCTGACGGTGGTGGTGTAGTACACAGCCAGCGGGGCCTGACGGTGGTGGTGTAGCACACAGCGGCCTGACGGTGGTGGTGGTGTAGTACACAGCACAGCGGGGCCTGACGGTGGTGGTGTAGCACACACAGCGGGCCTGACGGTGGTGGTGTAGTACACAGACAGCGGCCTGACGGTGGTGGTGTAGTACACAGGCCAGGGGCCTGACGGTGGTGGTGTAGTACACACAGCGGCCTGACGGTGGAGTGCACACAGCCAGCGGGGCCTGACGGTGGTGGTGTAGTACACAGCCAGCGGGGCCTGACGGTGGTGGTGTAGCACACAGCCAGCGGGCCTGACGGTGGTGGTGGTGTAGCACACAGCCAGCGGGCCTGACGGTGGTGGTGTAGCACACAGCCAGCGGGCTCTGACGGTGGTGGTGTAGTACACAGCCAGCGGGCCTGACGGTGGTGGTGTAGCACACACAGCGGCCTGACGGTGGTGGTGTAGTACACAGACAGCGGGGCCTGACGTGTGTAGTACACAGCCAGCGGGCCTGACGGTGGTGGTGTAGCACACAGCGGGCCTGACGGTGGTGGTGAGTACACAGCCAGCGGCCTGACGGTGGTGGTGTATACACACAGCGGCCTGACGGTGGTGGTGTAGCACACACAGCGGGCCTGACGGTGGTGGTGTAGCACACACAGCGGGCCTGACGGTGGTGGTGTAGCATACAGCCAGCGGGCCTGACGGTGGTGGTGTAGTACACAGCCAGCGGGCCTGACGGTGGTGGTGTAGCACACAGCCAGCGGGGCCTGAGCGGTGGTGTAGTACACAGACAGCGGGCCTGACGGTGGTGGTGTAGTACACAGCCAGCGGGCCTGACGGTGTGTAGTAACAGCCAGCGGGCCTGACGGTGGTGGTGTAGCACACAGCCAGCGGGCCTGACGGTGGTGGTGTAGACACAGCCAGCGGGGCCTGACGGTGGAGGTAGTACACAGCCAGCGGGGCCTGACGGTGGTGGTAGTACACAGCCAGCGGGGCCTGACGGTGGTGGTGTAGTACACAGCCAGCGGGGCCTGACGGTGGGCGCCGGTCAAAATGTTACCAAATAGAATAATTACCAGGTAGTGAGGAGACACCACATAAAGGTGAAAGGGTGGCGAGGGGGTTAGGAGAAGAAAAAAAAGGAATTTGAGGTGGATAGGAGTTAGGTGAGAAGAGAGGGGAGACGGATGTATGAGGGAGAGAAGAGGAGGAGAGGGGTTGATGGATGATGGGGAAATATGGAAAAGGGAAGGCGGAGCTAGCGGATGTATGGGAGGGAGGGAGAAGGTGGCAGACATATGGGAGGGAAGTAGGAAGAGGGAAGGAGGGGAAGTGGGAGGGAGGGAGGATGGGAGGTAAGGGAAAGGAAAGGGTTGATTAAGACAGGAGGAGAAGGTTGAGGGAGAGCAGGAAAGGAGAGAAGTGTAGGAGTGATAGAGGGAGAGAGGGAGGGAGGAGGGAGGGAGGAGGGATGGAGGAGGGATGGAGGGAGGGAAGGAGGTGATGGACGTATGGGAGGAAAGTAGAAGAAGGGAGATGATTTGGTGACAGGTAAGGAAAAGGGGGAAGGGAGGGGTGGGGAGGGATGGTAGTCGGTAAAAGGGGGTGACCGAGGTATGGGGAGAGGAAGGAAAGGGAAATAGGGGAGGGAGGTGGAAGAGAGGGGAGATGACTTAGAGGGAAAGAGGGGGAACTAAATGAGAGAGAAGAGGGAGGGGGGTGAAGGAGCGAGAGGGAACTGGAGGTGAGAGCCGGGGTGAGGGGGGTGACGGAGGTAGGAGTGAGAGGAAGGTCGTAAATCAGAGCCTAATGAGTAGTTATCACCCAGGTTAATCTCGGGGCCAGCCTGAGCAGTCTCTCTTACCTACACTCAGTCCAGGCTCAGGCTATCCTTGAGGTGGCCTAAGACTGTTTTTATTCCACGCTCAGGCTGACTTTATTTTGGTTATTTTTCCACGCCTTAATCTAGTAGCTACTAAAGAGCCAAACGATGCCAGGTCAATGGTGTATTGTCTACGATACCTGACCTACATTAACTAACCTACAATACCTGACCTACGATACCTGACCTACGATACCTGTCCTACGATACCTTATCTACGATACCTGTCATACGATACCTAACAGGAAGAAGAGGTATTCCATTCATAATAGGCCAGCAGGTGTCTTAAGTACCGTGTGGGTCAGCGGTAGCGAGCATGTCTACACCACACTAGGAGGCCCCAGGTTCAGTTTCCAGCCATCCTAAGAAAATCTCCCCACGGAATCATCTCACCCACACTATCCTCACCCTAGTTGTCTCACCTTCCCATACTGTCCTCACCCCAGTCACTTCACCACCCCATACTATCATCACCCCAGTCGCCTCACATCCCCAAAATGCTTGAAAAAAAAATGTGTTCTCTTTCCCACCTAAAAATTACCTCATTAAACGAGACCTATTTACTTCCTGCCCTAAGAGTGACGACATTCCAAGAGTAGAGACGGGGTGGTGTATAGGGTGGGTGGGGAGGGAGGGGAGTTTCTCTGTCTCTCGGTCTATCTCTCTGTCTGTATGTTTAAATCTCTGACCGCTCTTCTTCTTTCTTTGATTTTTCGTCTAGATTTTTTGCTCTCTCTCTCTCTCTCTCTCTCTCTATTTTTTCCGTCTCTCACTGTCTTTCTGAATTTTTTAAGACGGTCACTAATTCGTATTCTAAGCGACCATCAACCTCCTCACAGCCGCCAAGAATTCCACGCGAGCTGCAGGTAGTCCCAGATGGTGACAGATAACACGAGATACCGGGTGTGAACGACGGCTCCCTGCTGACTACAGTGTGAACGACGGCTCCCTGCTGACTACGGTGTGAACGACGGCCCTGCTGACTACGGTGAACGACGGCTCCCTGCTGACTACAGTGTGAACGAGCCCCTGCTGACTACAGTGTGAACGACGGCTCCTGCTGACTACAGTGTGAACGACCCGCTACGACGACGGCTCCCTGCTGACTACAGTGTGAACGACGGCCCCTGCTGACTACAGTGTGAACGACGGCTCCCTGCTGACTACGGTGTGAACGACGGCTCCCTGCTGACTACGGTGTGAACGACGGCTCCCTGCTGACTACAGTGTGAACGACGGCTCCCGCTGACTACGGTGAACGACGGCTCCCTGCTGACTACGGTGTGAACGACGGCTCCCTGCTGATCGGGTGAACGACGGCCCCTGCTGACTACAGTGTGAACGACGGCTCCCTGCTGACTACAGTGTGAACGACGGCCCTGCTGACTATGGTGAACGATCCCGCTGACTACAGTGTGAACGACGGCCCTGCTGACTGGTGAACGACGGCTCCCTGCTGACTACGGTGTGAACGACGGCTCCCTGCTGACTACGGTGTGAACGACGGCTCCTGCTGACTACGGTGTGAACGACGGCTCCCGCTGACAACGGTATGAACGACGGCCCCTGCTGACTACGGTGAACGACGGCTCCCTGCTGACTACAGTGTGAACGACGGCCTCGCTGACTACGGTGTGAACGACGGCTCCCTGCTGACTACGGTGACGACGGCCCACACCCGCGACTACGTGAACGACGGCCCTGCTGACTACGTGAACGACAGCCTGAACGCCCCTGTGACGGTGTGAACACGGCCCTCTGACTACGTGTGAACGGCTGCCCGCTGACTACGGTGTGAACGACGCTCCCTGCTGACTACAGTGTGAACGACGGCTTCCTGCTGACACGTGTGAACGACGGCTCCCTGCACTACGTGTGAACGACGGCTCCCTGCTGACTACGACACACACACACACACACACACACACACACACACACACACACACACACACACACACACACACACACACACACACACACACACACACACACACACACACGGCCAGTGGGGGGAGGTGGGGAGGTGAGGGAGAGGAGAAGGAGGTGAGGTGGGAGAGGAGGAGGTGGGGAGGAGGAGGAAGGATGGAGGTGAGGTGACGGAGCAGGAAAATGAGATGTTATGATGGCAGCGGAGAGAGAGAGGTAAGTATCGTGTGTGTGTGTGTGTGTGTGTCCATCGCCGCCAGGAGCCACCCATCAGAGATAAGTGATCGGCGGGTGGGGAGACACGTCGGTGCCTATCTCTCCATCCTCCCTCCGTCGGGATATCCAGGACCATCTCCCCTAAACGTGGACCTACAGGAGAGGCGAGAACTGAGGAAAAAGTCATTAAACTGTGTCACTTGATTGAGGGAGAGTGTGAGTGTTGTCCTCCCTCTCCCCCAACCTCCCCTCCTCTATACCTCCCCTCTCCTCCCTAACCTCCCTTCTCCTCCCCTTCCTCTCCCCCACCTCTCTTCTCCCCACCTCTCCTCCCCCCACTTCCCTCTCCCTCACTTCCCTCTCTCCCTCCTTAGCTCCCCTCCCCCACCTACCCCTACATCTCCCTCTCACCCCACATCCTCACCTCGTCTTCATCACCTCCACACCTCACACCTCATTACCGTCAGCAGATACCTGTCCTATTAAACTTCTGTATATTTTGCATCTCTATCTATCTATCTATCTGTCTATCTCTGTCTGTCTGTCTGTCTCTGTGCTGTATTACTATACATATGGCCATTTCTGTCGCCCATGTATGTCTATGTGAAGAGAGAGAGAGAGAGAATCATCAGCAGAGGCCTCAGGGGTAGGGAGACATACCCAGGGTAGGGCATGAGTGGACCAACAGATGATCAGTGTGTGGTGACGCATACCTTCCTGCCCATACCCACTGCCTACTACCCACTGCCTATACTCCTCTCATCCCATAGCTGCTAATACACACTAATTTAAATATTCACCTTCTCCCGACTCCCCCTCTTAAGAACACCTAACCCCTACCCCCCCTTACCCTTACTCACCCTACCCACCTTACCCCCTCTCGTATAGGGCTTACCTCCCCCCTCGCCTCTGTCCATTACAACTGCTCTGTTGTAATCATCCCCTCCTCCTCCTCTTCTTCCTCTGCTCGCCTCCTCCCCCTTCCCCTTCTCTACCTGGCTTTCCTCTCTCCTTTTACCTATTTTTTTTTCTGCAACTCTCTCTCTCTCTCTCTCTCTCTCTCTCTCTCTCTCTCTCTCTCCTCCTCTTTACCCTCACAATAGGTGTACCTCCTCCTCGTTCCCCCTACTACCTCCCTATCACCTAACACCCTCAACCACCCTTACCACCCTTCAACTATCCACCTCTACCACCCTCACCCCCACCCCTCCCCACCCCCTACCACCCTCCACCCACCCCTACCACCCCTCACCCCCTACCCCCCTCAACCATCCAAACCATCCTCTACCACCCCCCACTACCATCCCCCCCCACCCCCCCCTCAGCACCATCAGATACGGACTCATTACGGCAACTGATTACAGACGGCTCTTAATCGTGCTGTCGCCACCGTGTAAACCACTAGACGCGCGGGAGGGGTGGGGAGAGAGAGAGAAGAGAGAGAGTTAAGGAGAAACAAACTAAGTATTTATATGTCTAATTATCTGGGTGTGTGTGTGTGTGTATATGTGTAACAATCTAACCAAACAGAAAGACAAACAACTAGCCACACACACACACACACACACTCTACCACACACACACACACACTCTACCACACACACACACACACACTCTACCGTGGGTGTTCTCTGTTAAGCTATCACACACTACCTCAACTCTCTGATAGCTTAATATGGTCACATCTGATCCTAGAATATACGCGATCGAGGTGAGTAGTTAGGGAGGTCACCTGAAGATTAGTCCCCCCCAACAGAATATTTTCCGAAGATTAGCCCCAAACAGCTTATTTCACCTGAAGATTAGTCCCCCAACAGTTTATTTCACCTGAAGATTAGCCCCAACAGTTTATTTCACCTGAATATTACCCAAACAGCTTATTTCACCTGAAGATTAGCCCAACAGCTTATTTCGCCTGAATATTAGCCCCAACAGCTTATTTCACCTGAAGATTAGCCCCAACAGCTTATTTCACCTGAAGATTAGCCCCCAACAGCTTATTTCGCCTGAATATTAGCCCCAACAGCTTATTTCACCTGAAGATTAGCTAACAAGCTTATTTCGCCTGAATATTAGCCCCAACAGTTTATTTCACCTGAATATTAGCCCCAACAGCTTATTTCACCTGATGATTAAACGCCGTATTGCTAGCCAAATATAACCTCAACCTAACCTAACCTAACCTAACTAGCTATCGAACCCCCTCAGATACTGTTCGGGCTGTTTACTGATCAGGTGAAATAAGCTGGGTGACTAATCTTCACGTGGTCCATATTTGGTCGTGTTTAGTTCACCCAACACCCGCCTTCCCTGACCTCTCTGATGGATGGATGTTCTGTTTACAAGTGAGAGTGTTTTTTTAGTGTGGGTTAAGTTAATTTTTTTGGTGTTGCTGTTGTTGTTGTTATTATTATTATCGTAATTGTTGTCATTATTATTATTTTATTATTATTATTCTCTCTCTGTCTCTCTCTCTCTCTCTCTTCTCTCTATCCATTAACTAGCCCGCCTCTCCTGCCTCCTCCTACACTACCTTGATACCTACTGTGGAGGCGTTAAAATCCCTTCATGTGTGTGTGTGTGTGTGTGTGTGTGTGTGTGAGAGAGAGAGAGAGAGAGATGGGAAGAAGATCGCGAGAAAGCGTGAGAGAGAAGAAGAAGAAAAGAGAGAGAGAGAGATAGAGAAGACGGGAGGAATATCAGGAAAAAGAATGTGTGAAAAGAAGAAAAGAAGAGAAGAAGAAAGAAGAAAGAAGAGAGAGAAGCCACCAATAAACAAGGCACACTAAGACTCGGCAGATAAAAAGATTTAATTCACAGACCAGTTGAGTTAATCTCCATTTTCTGTTTGCATGTGAAAGAAAGCCCTAAGTGAAACAGCTCTCCCCGTGCCTTTAGAGTCTAGCTGAACCGAATTACTGCCCAGTCTCTTCTCAGCTCTCTAGAATAAATCCTCCTCTTGATAACCGAAAAATTAATCTTCAGATTATCCGGAAAAGGTATTAAATATTCGGTAAAATATGGAGGATATGAAGGCAGGAGGGGAAGTGGTGTAAGGAAGGGGAGGAGAAGTACTTCGCTTGTGTTTATTGTGGGTGTAATTCATTCTCGGGTACAGCGGGGTGTATTAGAGAGTGTAGTGTTTGTCTTGTAGCATCTTGTGTACTATGAGCTCTTGTCTTCATCCCGTGTGTGTGTGTGTGTGTGCTACAGCCTACAAGCCTAGTGGAGAGGAATTTGCCAGTGTTGATATACGGGTTTGTCGTTTGGTGTAAACATGGCGGCGAGTTCATGATTTTCGGTTCATGTTATAGAGAAAATAAACTAAAATCCTTATATATTAACAACGAAAATTCAAATACAATCCCCATTTAGTTACAAAACATCAGAATAATCTTCCAATATTTACAAAGAAAATAAAAGTATATTCCTTACATAATTACCCAAATAAAAAAAAATAAACCTTATATAGTTACAAAGAAAACCAAACAAAATCCTCGTACATAAGTATTAATGATTCTGGAGGGAAAATGAGATATAAAAGTCACATTAAGCGACACTAAAAGATAATAAAAATAACAGAATAATGGATATAATAAAAAAAAATACTCAACTTACGATAGAAAAAGGTTGGATAAGATAATTTCCCCTAATTATTGAACCAGATTACTACAACCCGTAATAGATGTTGTATCACCTTACTACAATACTAAGTTATATTTTATACGTACAATTGTACTTGTTTATTTTACATTAAATAAAGATTATCAGGATTGAATAACTTGCAATAGATTTATCATTCATTTTTTTAGATTAAATATTAACGCTACTTCAGATTACATTAAGAAGGTCATTATATTCTCTTAATTACACCCATTACCATTGACCTTGAGTTATAAGACTCACTAACTCACCCAACAGTACATTACGACGTCAACAATAAACCACTGAGTACGCACTCCTACCTGATGCTAATTGTTATTTATATTAATTGGATTTACGAATGATAGTGAGCATATTCAGTAAATTCACAACAAATTATTAACACAATGAAATCTGAACCCATTAAACAGAGGGTTGGGGGTAAAGTCGACCCCGTTAATGCGATGTGGTAAGGTTGGAGGGCTGGCGGTGGACTCTACATTATTATGCTTATAACAAGTGGGTCTTTTTCTGCAGTTTGCATCTCCTCAGACTAGTATCTCGGCCGGTCCACTAGGTTAACATGTATCACAATATTAAGGCTTTTGTCGGCCCATTTAAGCTAAAGGACTGAGGAGGATCTTTGCATAATTGCAAAATGAGTGAATTAATGTTAGGTTGCGGCTCTGCCTGCTCTTGTCCAGACCTCCGCCGCTAGATGACCGAGATGTTTTTGTCGTTTTTAAGGGATCAGAAAATTACTATTCTTCATCTCAGATACTGCCACTATTTTCCGCTTCTTGTGAGTTTCTATGATAATGTGGTAATCTGGGCACGCGGTGTGGTTTTTCAGGTAGTTAGTAGGAGCAAGTTGTGGAGTGTGGGCAGGTGGCGGGGCGAGGCGGAGCGGGAGGTGGTAGCCGCTCAGTAAATGGTACCACAAAGGCGCCGCTTCACCAGCCGA